AATTTGTTACGTGATTCGGCTAGCTTTAAAGCTATTTTGTAACTTACATATAGGCCGGGGTAAGTTACAGTAAGTTAGGGTGTACTTACATGTAAATTACATTGTCAGTTATGGTTTAACAACCCTACTCGTGATCGACGATCCGTAATGCCGCCTAACATTTCCACGTCGATCATAATTCTGGTCCATCGTGATATGTTCGTTTCATCTTTCGCTTTACCAATTCGATCCTTATCAACCGCTTTATTACAAGCTTCGCTATCAATTAACATTCCTCGTACTAAGTACAAGGGTTCACCAAGAACTATGCGACACTTAGCAAAGGCATGACCAAAAAAGGATGCACATACAATAATCACGCTGTCCAATAGAATTCGAGGTTTTGAACACAGCAACTTGCCTGTAAACCATGAACTTCGTACTTCGTACTACGTTCCTGGTATAATACCCCGTTTGTATTACAAATCCTAACATATTCGAACTTTTCGAGTATCACTTTTTTTTTTTTGGTAGGAAATTATAAATTGATTATATTTTTTAAGGATGCTTTTATTTTTAGAATAATCGAGTCAGAATAATTGCATAATACTACCATTGTTACAGACGTTAATAAACTTGTAAGGTTTGGTTTGGTACAAAATCACAATCACAATGGTAAATAATCCAAACAGACAAAATCTTGAAATATCGTCACACCTATTGTATTTAGTGTGATGTCTAAAAATACTTATTCAACCTAATAATTAATGCTAATTAAAATGCAAATAGATTATGTGATATGCGTTTTCATATAGCACAAAGATATAATTTATATGTATAATATCATCTAACCTTAATTGAAATCATTGAGCTGGGAATGGTTTTAAGCCAGAGACGCATAAGCTGGATATCTCCAGCCAAAGATGGCAAAAATTTTTTTTATAAGTTTTGTATAAAAATTTTAATTTAAAAACTTGCACGTTAATCAGAATTCATGATTAATTAGATTTAAAGTTTGTAAAGGTTTTTGAGATGTATAACATTTTTAATTTGAGCACCATTAATCAGTTACTCGCATATTGTAAAGTAACATAGATAAGATTAAAAAAAATGCAACCAGTAAAAAAGTAAAATAATTTAAATATAGTTTAATTGGATAGGATGGAATGAAAATAAAAATATGAAAAAAAATACAAATACCATTCATAAAATTTTTTATGTAAGCCCACGTACATATCATATGAATAAAATTCTGCTACGTTCTTTCGAATCTGGCAAATTTTAATTTTATAGCCAAAAATTTGCTTATTATTATTGTACCTAATAAGTAAATAAAATAAAAGAAAAAAATCGTAATGATATAAATATTTACATACCCTACATGTATTATTAAACAAATGAATTAATAAAACGCCTCTGGCATCCAAAATGTTATTACATTATATATATATAATTGGTCCGGGTTCAAAAATAAATATTGTTTTCATAGTAAATATGGGTCGTATAACAGTTGTTATACGCCAAATAGACTCACACAAACTCATGTTATTACAGAAAAGAAAATAAATCCATTGTGCTTGACAACCTGAGCCCCTTCGGGGCCCAGATTAGCACATTAAACTCAAAGCCAGATACTTCTTTTATTTGTTATCCAAAATGATCATCCCGTAATCCGAAGGATCACGGTATTCTCATTTCTCCTGCCAAATAAAACTCTTATTGGATGCTATACATCCAATAAATATTTATTATCCATATGACATTCCCGGAGTTGAAACCACCTGAAGTTACAACTTTAGGCAGGTGCTAATTTCAAGTATGACATATATACTTGTATAATAAACACTGATCTTTTCATTAGTTATGGTTATATTAAAAAAAATTATACGAATTTTTAGAAAAAAATTTAAGTTAAATGAAATTATAAAAATATATAATTTTAAATTTTTATCTTCAGGATCATAAAAATTTAAACTTTATTATTCAAAATTATCTTGATAAATCTTTGTTAATAAATTAATAAAGCATGATTAAAAAAATATTTTTTAGTATATATAGTTAAAAATAATGCTTTATCTTTTTTAAAAAAATTTGCAAACGATGTTTCAGGAATAATTGCATTCTAGATAATATATTTTTGTGTATTAGCTAAGGTGAGATTTTTAAATAACAATAGCATCATATATTAGCATATAACATTCAATCATTGAAAAAATCACTTAAGATTTTGCAATAAATGCATTGAACAGTTATTTAAAATTATATATTGGAATTTAATAATATTGGTCGTCTAATTCCATTATTTATTTACTTGTATTTTTAATTTCCGTATTGGCAAAGATTTCATCTATTTTCAGGACCAAATATTAGCGCCATGTCTTTTTTCTATTATTGATATTCGTAAAAAAAATACAAAGCAAGAACTCGTACGCAGCATTATTAATGGCCTTGCAAATAATCCGAAATTTGTTCCGTCAATGACACTTTATGATAACCGTGGATTGCAACTTTTTGAAAAAGTTACTTACACAGATGAATACTATATCAATCGTTGCGAAATTGATATTTTGAATAAAGAAGTCGACCAAATTACTGAATTTATTTCTTCTGATAGTAGCATTATTGAGCTGGGTGCAGGGTAGTTATTGTGAATTTCATGCATTAAAAAAAAGAAAAGGAAAAAAATCTTATTTTAAAAAATTTGAGTTAATTCGTGGTTCGCCTACGAACCAGTGATAAAACATAGTAAAAAGTGGGGAAATTTACTATTGTCTTTGGAATCTGGAGTTTCCCAAAGAAAAATTTTTCTTTATTAAGTAAACCTTTTTAACGCCTAAGTAAAGTTGTAGAGGAATGTCTTGCGATCAGAATGACGATTAAAACGTTAAAATCGGTCCAGTGGATCGCGAGATATAAGCATTTTAGTCTTTGCGACTATATGTTTTCTTCTTTAT